CTTTTTTTTTACAGTGTATGCATGAATAAACTGGAAGATATAAAAAAATATATATTGTATATATATATTGTACACAGTATAGATATATTGTGTTATGTCATTGACCCTTTTATCACACTGGGCAGAGGAGTACAGCAGTATGTTCTTTACTTAGAAGTTATCACAAATACATTCACTTAAACATGTAATATGTGTCACATACAAAATGTGTGTTTTTAGTGACTGATAAACACCAGTTAATCATTTTTTATAATTTTGTTAAACTATAAAAATATATGAAATGTAACAACTATTTCCCAAGCAATTTCTTATGATGCCCAAATAATAAATTTTAGTTGAGGTATAAACACATGGAGTAAGTGGTTACATTTTAATTGACATAACTTGCTGTAGTTTTCTAAATGTTTGACCAATTAAAACATTTTAGCTGAATGGACTATAAAACTAGTTCAGTAAAGGTTGAGCCAACTAAAAACTAACAATTCAGATAACACTTTGAAATCAGAAATCGACAAGCAATTTCTTATGATGCCCAAATAATAAATCTTAGTTGAGGTATAAACACATGGAGTACGTGGTTACATTTTAATTGACATAACTTGCTGTAGTTTTCTAAATGTTTGACCAATTAAAACATTTTAGCTGAATGGACTATAAAACTAGTTCAGTAAAGGTTGAGCCAACTAAAAACTAACAATTCAGATAACACTTTGAAATCAGAAATCGACTGAACGTTACTAAATAATAATTAGTTGGAACAGCTTGAAACTTTTTTTTTACAGTGTATGCATGAATAAACTGGAAGATATAAAAAAAAAAATATTGTATATATATATATTGTACACAGTATAGATATATTGTGTTATGTCATTGACCCTTTTATCACACTGAAGATATAAAAAAATATATATTGTATATATATATTGTACACAGTATAGATATATTGTGTTATGTCATTGACCCTTTTATCACACTGGGCAGAGGAGTACAGCAGTATGTTCTTTACTTAGAAGTTATCACAAATACATTCACTTAAACATGTAATATGTGTCACATACAAAAGAAATCCAAAAACCCTTAGATACAGAAACACCGCTACTATGTGGCTTTAACAAATTCCAAAGTTTACACACTGAACATCCCTTCACGGTCGACCATCCTTGAGTACACACGAGTGTGTGAACAGCTGGGTGTGTACTGGATTTGGCTACAGTATCTCAGCATGGGGCTGCACACGCTCTGATAGCTGCCTCACTGTGCAAACATGCTCAACTACACCAGAGTGTTCAGACAGTCGCAGTTCACATGTTCCACAAGTATTACTGCACATTAATGCAAAAGTTTTAACGCCTGCTAAAAGTCACAACACTACTCACTTTGTCTTTCTAAGGCAACTTTATCAAGAGTCACATGATGCAGCATAACATCATCTCCTACTTGAGGCACTAAATTATTGTCCAAAATATCGTCTAGAATAACGCATGTAGCAACGTAGTGGTAAAACCCCTTTAAACCATTTAAAATGTTAATTCTAAGTCTAAACTGTATCATGTTAAATGTAAAAACTGACAACAGTCCTACATTCAGTCATGCTGTCTGTGGGCTCAACAGACATATAGACTGTAAAGGCAACACATAAATGACATTCTTAATTTAGACTTTCTTTTTTTATACACAAATTGTCTCAAAAAGCTAAGACTAAAGACAAAAAGAGCCTCTCATTTTATCCTCTCATATGCTTCCACCTTGTGGCCAAATATGGCATAAAATCTGAACAAATAAAACACTTAAAGAAACATGTTAAAAAACATGGGATAAGTACAAATAAAACAATGGCAAGGGACTTTTTATAAAATAGCCTTAATTAGAGATTAAAAACCTTCTTAAGGTTGAACGTATGAACCTACCCTGTGTTCATATTGCATTCTCACATTTGGTCAGAAATGTACCTAAAGTATTCAGGTAATCTATATTTTCCACAGCATCTCTAAGAAACCCCGGTCGATCGCATCAAAAACGACTTCAACACGTACTTTACCATCTGCGCCACTGGAGCTGTTATTAGAAGATAGTCTTTTGTAATGCTTTGTAATCACACGTTGATGGGCGGAGCTAGTGTAAATAGCCTCTGCCAATAAGGCGGGCTATTTGCACTTGTAAATAGACACTCCGTTTTTATTTGTGAACTGATGTTCAGCTGTTCTTTTTAATAGTCAACTTATTTTCAGGTCATCGTCATAAAAGCCCTGTAAACTTTGTCACAGGCACGAAGATACATCTTTCATTTCATCAAGCTGAATGCTCACTAAAAATTGACATCACATTTTCAAGTCATTTCATGTTTCATTTTGATGTGACACAGAGCAGTGATATCTAAGCAGGAGAGTTGTTTACTTACTTTAGAATTAGTCAACAACGCCATAATTTTCTTCCTTCAGGCCAAAAGCTCGCACGAAAACAAGAGGCGGGATTTATCACACGAACCAATCACATCCAATCATAACCAATCATATCCAATTATAGTGCGACGGAGGCATTGCAATGAGCCTCCAGAAAAGTCACGGCAGGCTTTAGGGTCTCTGAAGAAAGTCTATGGACCGAAGGGAGGCAAGCCTCCGCTCTAACTTTACCTGCGGGTGTCGCTATTGGACAGTGTTACTTTATAAAAACGAGTGACTTTTAATGTCATATTTAGTCATATTTGCATCGATTATTTTCTCATCCACTTTTGAGGAGAGGAGACACTGCCTCCCTTGCCTCCTCGGAGGAAACACCCCTGTTCAGAAGAGTACCATGATTTTTGTTTTCTTTGTGCAAAAAAAGTATTCTCTTAGCTTCATAAAATTACGGTTGAACCACTGTTGTCACATGGACTATTTTAATGATGTCCTTACCACCTTTTTTACCACAGACATTTTTGGGTGAACTATCCCTTTAATAAAATCTTCAGAAAGATGACAAAGTTGAATTTTTAGCAGCCATTAGTCCAGTCTTCAGTGTCACCTGGTACCTCAGCAATCATACTAATATGCTAATTTGGGGCTGTAAAAACCTTTATTCCCATTATTTATATTGAACATTTTTGCTGCTTAAGAGTTTTGTGGAAGCTGATACTTATTTTTTTAAGAATTGTTCTATGAATTGTTTTGATGAAAGTTCAAAAGAACAACATTAACTTTAAATTAAAAACTTTTGTAACATTATAAATGTCTTTCCTGTCACTTTATCAATTGAATGTGTCTTTACTGAATAAAAATAGCGATTCCTCTCAAAAAGAAGAAAAAAAAAAGAAAACTCACCCAAAACTTGAACAGTAGGTGTATAAGGTTTTTAAAAAGTGCCAATCCAAATGTCACAGGGGATTATAAAATCCTAAGTGTGTTAACAGCTAAGGTTACTAAAAAAGGAGCCTGAGCTCAGCTGCTGAATTTAGGCCAAATCCCCTTTTTACAATATTCTCAGGCTAAACTCGCCCACATCCAAACCTGACGGCTTTGCCGCTCTTCCACGTTTAAAAGGAGAAGATCAGACAATTGAACAATGTCCATTAAGATGCACTGAACCCTCTCCAGTCCACTCACCCCTGAATAACCCTCACAATGGGGCTCTCTCTGTGTATCCGTGAGGTGTCATTCATCAGAACGGTTGAGGAAAAAGGGGGGCTTGGAGGAAAGGAGTTCCAGATAACAAAGAGGATCCCATATCTTAAAGCTACCTCTGGTCTTTGTACTTTAGGGCTGAGTACAGAATTCTGCTATCTGATTCATTTGGGATTTAAAAATAAATTCTAAAAATTCTATTTCATAATATTTTAACTTGTAATTTATTCCTGTAATGGCAAAGCTAAATTACCAGCAACCATTGCTCCAGCTGTCAGTGTCACATGATCTTTTAGAAATCTTTTTAATATGCTGATTTGCTCAAGACAGATTTCTCATTATTATCAATGTTGAAAACAGGTGTGCTGCTCAATATTTTTGTGGAAAATGTTAAATCTCTCTCTCTCTCTCTCTTTATATATATATATATATATATATATATATAGAACAGTATTGTTATCAATTAAACATTCTCTCTGCTAATGCTGTAAATTATAGCGGGCACTGATTCAGACTTATTCAAACTGGTAACTTTATAAATTTATGCCATGTTTGTGAATTATTATTTAAAAAGAATCAACTCATAAAAATGTTGATGCCAAAAACTCATTGTTTTTGGCATGCATCTAACAAGGACAACTCAATTTAAAATATTGTAACATTCAATACAGACAGCAAACCTACACTGAAAACATAAAATGTAGTTTCTTTTGCTGTAACACTGATGATTCATCAACAAGTACAAATACATTTTCATATAGCTACTGAAAATAAGCATACATTTTTTTACTTTTTTTTTTTTAGATTTTAAAAATGGAATGCACCATGTAAAGCTATTTAATGACTTAAACTTGCTAATCTTCCTTCCATTTAAAATGTGTTTTTCTACTCAAAATTTTGTTTAATTCTGTTTCTTTGTAACCGTTTGTGAAATCTACTAGCAATTTCTGAGGTTCTGAAAATGTTTGTTTCATTGTAGATCTTTCAATGTTTTTCATTTCCAAATGAGTGTATGCAGATGATATCATTTTTAAATGAGCTATTCCTTTACATATGTACTACTTTTTAATCATTTGATCAACTACAACATATTGTAATGGCATATTTTCCTCAATACACCATTCACTGAACAGCTGTCTCTTGCCTGACCTTTATTCTGGCCCCAGCAACCCATGTTACACAGAAGGATCTAAGAAAAAACATCCTCGGCTAGGTGCATTGTAAGGATGGTGGGCTCCAGCCACTCTGCTCCAAGGGAGGGCTGAATAGCAGACTTAAAATATGCAGAGGTCAATGAAAGAGGCAAAGGTTGCGCGCTATTTAAAGACAGTCGACTACAATTGAGCCCAGAGGGGCTTGAATTCATTGAGTGAACTTACAAAGACCTTCTGTAAAAAATACAGATATATAAATGCTGGTAAGCACTTGCGCCTCGGTCCACTTACAGGAACAGCCCCACACTGTGGTCGCAGAGTAGGATGTGAATGTATTGATGCTTGAACTATAAATAGCGAGAGGCTTGATACACCTGCTTCAGCGATCACGAGTGTTGAGTAGGCTTAAATGCACAGACACGTACCCTCTGACAGCATGGAGCAGACGCAGGGAGGGGAAGGCAGTGCGGACGTTCACGGTGTGCAGAAGAATTAGGCGGATGGCCCACTCCACTCGCTCCTCTCCTCCTTTAGCCATGAAGGCAGGGATCCACAGCACACTCCCGCTGAGGCTCTGCAGCCTGTGGATGAAGCGCTGTACCCACTCCTCACTATTCAGGTCCTGAAAAGCACGCTGCACCACAGAAGGGTTCATAGTCACCAGACTGGTGCGCAGGCCCACATCAGTCGCATACTCCTCCACTGGAGCCAGGTTACACCTTGGAAACACACATATATATATATTCATTTGGTTAAGTCTTAATATTAGTGCTGTCAAATGATTAATCGCATCCAAAATAAAGGTTTTTGTTTAGCCATGAAGGCAGGGATCCACAGCACACTCCCGCTGAGGCTCTGCAGCCTGTGGATGAAGCGCTGTACCCACTCCTCACTATTCAGGTCCTGAAAAGCACGCTGCACCACAGAAGGGTTCATAGTCACCAGACTGTATATATATATAAAAATGCACACACATGCATGTATATATTTAAGAAAAATAAGTTATATTTGAAATATATTTATATATAATATGAATTATATGAATATAAATATATACATGTAAATATTTACGAAATATATATTGTATGTGTATTTATATATACACAATAAATGTACACAATACACACACACACACACACATATTACGTAAACAAAAACGTTTATTTTGGATGCGATTAATCGTTTGACAGCACTACTTAATATTATCTCAAGTTACTTCCTTTACATATTGTATATGTAAATGCTTATGCCTGTGTGTATTCACATGGTGACATATGATCAAGCCTTAGTTTTCTAGTAGCAAGCTATCAACAATAAATATATCTGAAGTTTATTTCACTCTGCATGTCTGCTTCAAAGAGAATACATTACACCCATAACATACTCTACACAAATGTGTCAATGCAGATCCTTCAAATAAGTGTTGCATTTTCGCTGTTGCCAAAAGGGGTGCGATAGCACAGACTAAACAATCTTCTTTTACGGTTATTTTTTTATAGAGTGCAACAGCTGGGTTCTGGAAGTAAAATACCTTTCATTTTACCACTCCATAGGGGGCTTTTTCAAATAAGTAAAAAAACACACACACACACACCTTTCAAGACAAACCTACCATCTGTAAGTTTGATAATCTGTTGCAGGTGCTTTTTTTAACTTCAACTGAAATATGAATACTGAATTGGGGGTGAGGAGTTATGAATGTATCACTGAAGGGAACTGTCTTCAGAAAAGTTTTGATGGCAATTGTATTTTCTTCCCCTCTTACCTCCTTATAAAGCAGTGTTTATAAGCGCAGCAGTGTTTTGTTTACAGCAGTATCCAAAGAAACGCTACATTGCTGCTGTTCCATAAGTGCCACCTGCTGTCAATGAGTGAATTTGCGTTCCTTTGTTGTTTTTGTTTCAGGGAGATATTTTATGTAGCATCATTTTACAAAGATGAAGTCAGACCGCTCTGTTTTTGCTTTAAATATTGAAATTATACAATCGAATTCAAATAAAAACAACTCTTGCAACATGTGTAGCATATTTGTTTGGATCATGATTAAAATGCAGTGGTTACATAGAAACAGATTTGGTTCGTTCGATTCAGTTCTGAGCTAAATGTCTGTAAACTCCTCCTTTCCATAAGCCTACTCTGCTCTGATTAGTCAGCTGGCCAAGCCTGTTGTGATTGGCACATAGAGGAGCGCTTGAGCAAGTTAGCGAGCGCTGCCATCTGTGTTGCCAAGTCCGTGGTTGTTTTTGATGTCGTGGGTTGTAGCGACCCCAATAACGTCATATTTAGGCGAATGCCAGGGGCACCCAGACTGAAAGCGTGTATTTTACACCACAGAACGCGATTTTTAAAGGGGAACTACCCTTGAAACACGATTGGGCTAGTTTTGAGTAGCAATTGGGCGGGTTTTGTTGTGACAACCTGGCAACCCTAGCATGCACCTTTACAATAATGTCATAATGACAAAAACATTTTGTTTAACACTTATGCAAGCGAATCGTGCCCACAGCTAAAGTTTAGCTGCTAAACTGTAAACACTTAACAAAACAATAATGGTGTATATGTTAGCCGAGTGCTAACGTGACTAACCGATGAAACAATACAGTTTGAAAACCAAAATATGTCTACTGTAATGTCTGAAGAACGACAGACAAAAGACGCTCCGTGTCTTAACCTTTAATTATAACGCAGAACAGCTATATCACATGCGCACCAGCCTAACTAACTCGTCTCTCACTACCGGGTCTTTTACTCCCTGCATTAACCCTATAACTACAAAAACAGCACTTTCACAATGATTATAAAGTCTGTGTGCTACACTACATTCTTTATTTTTAAAACAAGTAATTAGAACAAAGACAGTCTACATTAATCGACACATTCTTAGGAAATAGTGGGTTCACAGCGAATTATCAGAAGTATTTCAGTAAAACAGTAATATTGTGCTTTACCTGGAAACCTAAAGCTGCACTAGGTATACATCACATTAGCACAAAAAAAACTAGATATTTTGAGCACTCAATTGAAAATGTACACATAACGTATCAATCGTACTTACAGGTTGTGGTTCAGAGA